GCAGGAGCAGGAGTAGGAGTAGGAGTAGGAGTCGGAGTCGGAGTAGGAGGAGGAGCAGGAGTAGGAGTAGGAGTAGGAGTAGGAGGAGGAGGAGGAGGAGTAGGAGTAGGAGTAGGAGGAGTAGTAGGAGTAGGAGTAGGAGGAGGAGTAGTAGGAGTAGGAGGAGGAGGAGTAGTAGTAGTCGTCGTCGTCGTAGTAGTAGTTGTTGTTGTTGCCTCCTGCGTGGTTGAGCGAGCCACGAAGCAGGCTTCTCAATAGATTGCAGTAAATTCTACCTCGACGTAGTTTTGGTCCCAGTTCAGGCCATCCTAGTAGTAGTAGTCGTCGTCGTCGTCATCGTCGTCGTAGGAGGGGCAGGGGTAGGGCTAGGGGTATCGGAGCAGGGGTAGGGAAGGAGTAGGAGGAGCAGGCGCAGCAGATGTACTTGTTGTTGTCATTCAGCAAGAAATCGAAACACAATTGATCAATAGAAGCAAGAAGAAGACCAAGGGAGGGAGAAGCAGGACGAGGACAACAACTAGAGGAAGAAGCTCTTGTCCAGTCAGTGAGATCGTGAGTGGGCTCCCAAATCTTGGACGCAACACACATCATGACCCAAAATGATGCTACCAAATAACCAGTACTAAAGGCAGACACTTCGCCCAAATACCACCGCCTTGAGTCTTCTCACAGGTCTGCACATAGTCCTTCCAAGTCTCCGCCTCTTCCAGCCAGCTCTGCACGTCCGAAGCCCGAGGAGCCGGGTTTGTTCTCAGAGGGTTCTTTCGCAAACGAAAAACGGCATAGTTGCCGTTCATGAACATCAGCTTGAAAAACCTAGATCGTGCATGCAGCTTCATACACATCAGGTCTTCTGTTTCGTGCTTCTTCGAGTTACAGTTCTTCCTCTTGTCATCCAAGTTGTATGGTGTGAAGAAACAACGCGAATACTCGAAGATAACAAGCTTGGCGCTCAACTGCTCCATGGTCTTCGCAAAGGACTCCTCGGAGCCGCAGTTGTACAGCTCGTACGCCCGCTGCACACGTTTGCGGAGATTCTCGGACTCAAACTGTGGGTGGATAATCATGGGTACATGTGTGAATGCCCTCATGCTCCCTGCCAAGTTCATGGAGGCCAGCACAGGCGTACCTGCCGGAACGACATTGTTGATCCAGTCATAGAGGTCTACCAAATCGCCATCATTGGAAAACTTGTCTGCCATGTGCTGACATATGCCTTCCTCCGCCGTGATGCACGGGAGCATGCTTCCCATCCAACACATGTGTGCAAGCCACGCCAGTGACAGAAGCGTCGCTAAGCTTTTCGGGAATGCCCTTTGGAGAAAAACAGGCACCAGCCGTGGTCCCATGACCGCGGCTGCCAGTACCATCATAGGCGGTCCAAATGCTACGCGCAGGCGGTTCACCAAACTGCCAAGCAGCATAAATAGTAGGAACTGCACCACGAAGAACAGCAAAGCGGCATCTTCAGCCTCCACTTGCACAGGAGAGGCCGATTCGAGCAACATCTCAGACTTTGACCCAGCTCGACCACGTCCGGCTTTGGGCTCCTGCTTCGCACAAGCATAATCATAATAATCGATCGAAATGATCATGACAACCATCATCACCAACACCACCACCACCATCATCCTGAAGATTATCATGAGGATTTTCATGATAACACCATGATAACACCTACAATAGCAGTGAGAATATCGATAAACAGTAGTGACAATGATTCTTCTAACTGGCAATGAATAGATTTGCTGTGTCCTCTTTCTTTTTCTTGGTGGCGACGGTAACGTCCTTCTGCGTATCACTCGGCCGAGCCGTCTCGGGTGTGTCCTCAATTTTGGCTTTGCCTGCCATACCCAGCCAGTGGGACGCAAACCGAATTATGATAAGCACCATGGCCCCTGCAGCTGCTGGTGCTGCGGTGGTTTTGATGTAAACTTCGGCAGACGACCACTCCAAGATTTTGAACACGCCCATGATGAGATACAAGTTTGCATTGAAGCTTGGCTCAGCGCAGGCTGGAAGTTGGCTAGCTGAGAGCTGCAAGCGCTTTGGCAGCATGTCATTGATTGTTGACACCTTCGTGCACAAAATCTCGTAGACATGTGTGTCTGCGGTTGCGAAGGGCGCCAAGGCCTTCCGCACTAGCAAGAATACGAGGACTGCGATGAGGCCCTCTGCAACGTGCGCTAGGCGTCGAGCTGTCCACGACAGCCAACCACGATGGGCACGGGTGCGGCAGCAGCAGATGGAGGTAGATGCTTTCAGGGCCACGAGCTGGAAGAAGAAAGGAGAGGTTAGCAAGTACGGGCTTCCGAAGTGTGCACACACTGCCAATGCCAACGACAAGCTATACACGTTGAGGATCTCAACCAGGGTGGGCCGAATGCTCTCAAAGCCAAGCACAATGCAGACGAAATACAGGGCCGTGGCTTGCAAGAGCAGGAGGAACGGGCTGAACTGCCAGGAGACGATGAAGGCAAAGGTTGTTAGCACCAGGCCAACGCGCAAGAGTCGGCGCATTGTCGCCTTGTAGGATGCCAAGAGTGCGCGCCAGACCAGGTACGACTGCAGCCAGAGGAGTGGAATACCCCAAAGCTCTCGCAAATCTGAGCTAGTGTAGTTACCCAAGCGGCTAGTTTGGAATCGGTTCAGGAAGGAGGCCAAATAACAGCCCACTGAAGCTAGAGGATTTCCAGAGATATCCGCGGCAAGCAGGCCTAGGGTAGTCTGGCCCACTCCATTCAACAGGATGATGTGCATCCGAAAGAAGTGGAAGGGATGAGGCAGCTCCAACCCCAAGCTACGCCCGAAGCGGAACTCGAGTGCTAGCAGGATCTCCTGGTAAATATTGAATCTGCGGATCACGTTCAAAGTGTCTGGGTACTCCGTCCGCCTATCCCAGACAATTCGACTTAACCCATCTGCAAAAGACTCCGTGTCCACAAGTTCCTGGAAATACGAATAGTAAAAAGCATTCTCCGTTTGCAATGCTGCAACAGCTGCAGTGTCTGCCGGCAACCGGTTCAAGACATCTAGATACACCGTGTTCTCATACACGTACATGACGCCTGTCATCAACGAGAGTACCACTCCAGCGGCACGATTGAACTTCGTGATCCGTTCCTCCATGGCTCTGCACACAGCACGTTCAAGTCCAGGTGAGGATTCTTTGGTGGGACGAGCATTAACAACTACTCTCCCTGCGCTAGTAGTATTCCCATAGTACAGCCCAGAATATGCACTCAGCAATAGTCCTAAGGAGCCCGGTATTTTATATGCAAACACCAAAATCCCTATTGATGTAGTCTGGGCTGTCGTGGCTCTGGCGACGAGTCCGGCCATCTTGTTTGAACACCCTTGTGACTTGTGTGTGTGTGTGTATGCTTTCCGTCAACCTGCCGCATCATGTAGCTGCTGTCATGATCCCAGATGGCTACGCTGGCCGCTGAACTGGACTCCAGTTTCCCGGGGCCCTCGGCTTTCCTTGAAAGGAACCCAAACCGCAGCCGCTGAAGTGGGGGCATGTCACTTTCGCACAGTACGCAACTCACATGCATCACCGTGCAGCCAACTTCTTGCAGAGAAAGCACTTGGCGCTGGCCGGGCCATGCCCCCAAACATAGCCGCGGCGGCAGTCTGAAAGGGGTTCCATGCTAGACTTGTGACGGTAGCATCGGCCAGGAGACCAGGAGGAGCTAGTCCGACCTAGATAAGTAGCAATATAATAAAAATACATTCCAGCTTGGTCTAGACCTA